TAAAAAACAAAAAAAAAGTATTAAGGCATTAAAGTACCTGTCTCTTATACACATCTAGATGTGTCTAAGAGACAGGCCTAGTTTTCTCAATATTATGGTATATAGCACCAATTAGAACGATACCAGATAGCATTATCTATAAACTGAAAAAAACAAAACCAAACATGCCTTCGGTGGAAGATCTCAACAACCCGATTACATAATGCTATAACAAAGAAACAGCGGGAGGGATGCAAATCGTCAATCCAAAACAAAAAACAAGAGGGGTTCTCCGTGCTTAGAAAACCCGAACAATATTGAGACACAACCCCTCCAAATGAATAATAAAATTACTCACCAACAGCCAAATGACTTGGAATAACTTAGCCATAAATAGTATAAGAGTGAAAACCCAACACCTTTTCGCCCTACTATGTTAGTTTTCTGATTGCGAATAAAAAGATGAGAGATAAAACAGCCAGGATGGAAAAAACGAGGGGTTCTCCGTGCTTAGAAAACCCTACACCCACACCGTATCGACCTATGTCAATCAAAATCTAAAGATCAGCATTCCCCAAGGTGATTCTTAAGACCAGATTCAAAGAACAAATCCTAGCACATGGGTGAGAGATGATGGAAAGTGCACGTAGACACACAAGCAAGGATAGGCGACAACACACATCGGTGTCCTGATGGATATAAAGGATTAGCCATTTGTAGGATAAGAAGACCCAAAGTGGATTAGGGAAGAAAACAAAATGGAGTTATAAAACTATGACAATCTGAACGTAAAAATTTCCACACAGGTCTAAACCAATACACATTGCCTGGTTATCTTTCCTACATTAATCCCAGACAAACTGGCTTCCTAAATGACCGAATGACAACCAGTCTGGCAGAGAGGTCAATAGAAATACACAGGCATACAAATAAGTACGCATGTACGTGAATAGATAAACAAATAGGTTGATAAATAATAACAAGAGAAAGCACATAACAAACAACAAATCAAATGGATGAACATAAAAGTTAAATGGATGAACATGTAAATGTATGTATGGATAATGGATGGAAGACACAAAAACAGCCAACAACCTTGTTGACTGATGGAGCAATGGACAGAGAGACAAACATAACCAACAAGATGTGTGTGTGTGTGTGTGTGTGTGTGTGAGAG